TATTAATATAGCAAAAAACAAATAGAACAATAGAACAATAGAATAGAACAATAGAATTTAGAATAGAATACAATTTTATCAATAGAACAAAAAATTGACAACACTGATTATATCCATTTGTCGATTAATCGATTAGTTGGAAAAAATCGATTAGTTGGATAAAATAATCTATCAACTAATCGTTGTCGATTTGTACCACCTAACGACAATTTAGCATTTTAATAGTTGAATTGTATATAGTTAGCAAATTGTCATCTATGTGATATCGAGTAGGTGGTTGTGGGGCAAATGATCGAATGTTCCCCTCATGACGTATTCATCAAAAACATCAATTTCAGACGCATTACTTCGTCGCTTACATTCTTTACATAAAAATCCCAAATTTTTCATGCATTTTTTAAAGCAAAAAAACCTTCAGGAAAAATTTTAGGATTTCCATCATGAGTTAACCTATAAATCAAGCAGCTGGAGGTCAAGGTCAGCCTTTGATACCTCAAAGCATTAATATTTCTGTAAATTCGTCCTTTGATAATCTTGTTGCTGAACAAAAATATAAAAATTTAATTAAAATTAGATCCATTTATTAGTGCACAAGAAACAGAAAATCGGACAGTTCTTAAATTCCCGGCCTTTATTTTTTCAGGATCATAGTTTGGATAAACAAAATTCTATATATTCAGTATATATATATATATATATATATATATATACGTATATATATGGGGCCTTTGCAGTAGAAAGGGCCGATACTGGAATATATACAATTTTGAAATAATTGAGTTTGTTTTGTTCGGACTGATCCGGGTTAATCAAACTTTTCGTGATTTGATTGGCTAGTTATATCGGGTAATCTCGTGATGTACGAATCTCCTAAAGAAATTTTTTTAAAATATCTCGATTTTTTATTATGCAAATCAATTTCCATCTATAATTCAAAAATGTAGCACATGTCAAAATTTATCCAAATATGTCAAAAACTCAAATTTCAGTATCGGCCTTTTCTACTGCAATGGCCCCATATATTTACTAAAGATCTTTCAAAAAGAAGTAAACCTAAGCGTGTTGGAATCTTTAATAGGCGCACTCCCATATATATAGAGGTCTGATCCGGTGAATAATATATCTGGATATTCGGTATCCAAATACGAAATTGGTTCACCACCAATAATCACTTCGACACAACCATTTCCCGACAATCACTTCGACACAACCATTTCCCGACAATCACCACCTACTTTCCCGACAACCATTTCCTCTAATAATTTCTATTTCCTCCTTTTACTTCCCTAATAATCGCTTTCCCAATTATTCACTTCCGATCCAACCATTTCACCGGTACTTTCATTTCCTCGACATTTTATCTCTGACATTTTTCTTTCTCTCTAATCTTGATTTCTATTACGTTAGAATCACATGTCTGACAATATGGGGTGCGGACAATAGAAACAGCCCATTTTTACATTTTTTTAAAAATTGAGTTTTTATTAGATTCATATAAATTTTGACATGATTAACATTTTTCAATTATAAATGAAAGTCGATTTGCATAATAAAAAATCAAGATAATGTAAAAGAAAAATTACACGAGGCTTCGTAGAGCCAACACATCACGAGATTATCCGATAGTCACCTGCTACCTTTAGCCAATCAAAATCGTGAAATTTGATCAATCCCGGATCAGTCCGAAAATCAAAACAAATGATTAAACTCAAAATAAGTTAAATGTAAAAATGGGCTGTTTCTATTGTCCGCACCCCATATGTTATCTTCGCATTTCATATAATTATATATATAGAATCTTTTTATAATCGTGACACCTAAATTAATTTTAATTATATAGTATATAACGGTAAATATTCACATTTATTATAAAACGCATCTATGGTGGTTTGGAATCTATTATATGTTTTTATTATATTTTATAGGTTTTTACGTATAAGTTTTGTATACGTATAAATTTTTAATGAAAATTTTTCACATTAAGGGTTAGAATTAAAATTCGGGAAGGGTTTTTGGAGTGTAAAACATTTTATTTAGAATATCCCGCACCGCTTAATTAGCTAGTTTTAAAAGCATTAAGTGTTAATATAGAATGAGTTTTCTTATTAGTTTTCTTATTAATATTATTAGTCTATTAGATAATATATTCATAGGTGTAAAACCATAGGTACGTTTTAGTAAAATTCTTCTATGTATACATAGAATTAAAGTAAAAAATTTTTGGAATTTAATAGATTAGTTGTCAGGATATGATTGTTTAAAGAATACCTAAATTATGATAAAATTTTTTAAAATTTTGAGTGATAATATCTTGATAACCACCTAATAAATTCTATAAAATTTTTTTTATTTAACTCAATCAATAAAAAATATAAATATAATACGTATAATGTAATCGTATAAAATTTCCATCGAATTTGGTTGGGTAGTTATTATCAAAATGTTAGTTGAAATTGTAATAAAATCTTAAAACTTTAAGCAATAATATCTCAATGATCACATAACGATAACAAAGCTCAATAAACCAATTTTAATTTAAATTCTAAATCATTTAATTAGGTGGCTGCCGAGAGATATTACCATTCAAAGTTTGATTTTGCATATCTTAGTAAATTTGTAATGACATTCTCTGATAACTTCGAACGGTCTTAGCGTTACAGTAACATTAACGTTATCGTTGTTACTAACGCTAACGTTTGCTAGAGTCGAGGTTAATCATTTCAATATTGAATTTTTCTTATCATTATGTAAGATGATGTAGTAATGCATACAGGAGAATTGCAACTTTCCTATTACAAATGCGCCATCCGGAGTCGCAATCCGTTCTGAAACAAAGTCATCCTTTTACCAGAGGATTCAGCGATAAAAAAATTTTAACAGAAAAAATCCTTGATTTACACAATCCTGAAGTCATGTCAGATAGAGCATGTAGGCTATCATGTTAATAATATTTCAATATACTGTAATGCAAATTTATTAACACACCCGATTTTTTATATAACATTAGTTGATTACTCAGAGGAATTAGAAAAATATCTGAAAGATTCAAATATAAAATGGTTTGATTACTCGGAATTTAGTGAACCCGAAATAATTGGAAGCGGTGGATGTGCAAATGTGTATTCGGCTACGTTTCAGGGAAAAGAGTATGCATTGAAAAGCCTAAAGAACAACTTATCGCTTGATTATAAACAATTCAAACAATTCAAGCGTGAAGTAAGTAATATCTTACTATTTGGTATCTAAATCCTTAACATTCCAATTTATTGAATATGTATATAATACTATTTTATAGCTTAAACTTTTATATAAGACTGATCATCCTAACGTTATTAAATTTTATGGAGTTTCAAGAGGTATAGTCAAGAGCAATTTTAATTGAACCCACAGTTGAATCATTAACTATATCCTTATTTTGCTTAATAACTTTAAGATTCATCGACGAATAATTTCATGCTTGTGCTGCAACTTGCCAATGGCGGTAACCTACGAAATTATTTAAAAACAAAACAAGATAATGATCGTTATATAATTTCATGGGTTGAACTCATCAAAATTGCGAAGGAAATTACTCTTGGATTGAAATATTTGCACGAAAATAACATTATCCATCGGGATCTAGTGAGTTTTTTAAATACATCATTTTTTACTGTATCAACTTAACTATAATTCATAACAATTTTTTTAGCATCCTAGGAATATTTTACTAGATAATGGTAAAACCTTGATTGCAGACTTTGGAGTATCAAAACAATTAGATGATACTGCAACTGCGAGTTCAGATATGATGGGCGTATTAGCATACACCGACCCACAGTGCCTTTACTCTAAAATAAAACGCGATGAGAAATCTGATATTTATAGCCTAGGCGTACTACTTTGGGAGCTTATGAGCGGAATCACACCTTGTTTTATGACTCCAAATGAATATATTTCTCAAAATAAAAAGAAATATATTGACATCATTCCCCTAAATGATGAGAATGACTCTATACTCTCAGATTATGCTGACATTTCTATAAAGTGCCGCTCTTATGAACTTGATCAGCGTCCAGCACTAGATGAAATTTTAAAAAAACTTGAAAATCTATCGAAGACAACTATTGAATTTATTACAAATTGCATTAATATAAATAGTCAGAAAACTGCACAGTCAATACCAAATTATTCCGAGCGATTAGATTCTTCCAATAATATAATCGAAAGTATAGACATGAATAAGAATCATGAAGGTAAGCTGAAAATGTTATTGACACCTATTTTTATAACTTATTATTTCATTTCATTCAACATAAAGCATTCTATTTAGATAATCCAGATGAATCAAATGATGATAACCTTGGTAAAATATTTACTTATATTTAATGGTTAGTTATTTGCAATTTATTAAAAATTTTCTCTTTACTCAGGTAATAAAGATGGTTCTGAAAATAATACACTTCTCAAAGACGATTCAGCTAATAATTTAGACGAACTCAATGAAATAACCAACAGATTGAATAATAATTCCGAGGAAGTAATACAAATACCGACCAAACTCATTGATGAATTATGGAATTCTTTTACTATATACTTCTTAAATACGGGACTTTTGTGGGTATTTCAACCACACGCACGTGACATAGTGGGATGTGAACGATGTGGATGTGGGGGGATCTGGGTTTTTATACAAATTCTAATCAACTTATCATATGATTTGTATTACATCGGATTTTTTTTTTTTACCAAAAAAGTTGCATGCATAATTTAAGAAATTCCCGTTTTTCCGTGGCCCCAAACATAAACTTTAATTCTGATACATCTGATATCAGGGACACGGAAATTATGTGATTTAGTGTGGTTAAACAAAATCACATTAAATCACATAATTTTTCTTCACTTATAACGTATTACGTTAGTATCATGTACACTCGTTTTAAATTTTTAGTATCGTAATATTTTAAAATGTATAATAAGCTATGATATTCTAGTAGCATATTAATTTAATTTATATAGTATGCTAAAACACCATAAATAAATTCGTCTTCAAAATTAGAAAGAGAATTTTGCTATTTTTAATAGTTCAAAAGAACGAGTACTTAATTTAAAAATAGCAATTAAGATAATATCGTTAACTATAAATAATTTTATTTTTAAATTAATTCTCTGATACGCTTACAAATTTTATTAAAAGAAGTGTTTTTTAACAATAAATAAATCAGAAACAGATAAATTTTTGTTTAGTTGAATGCAATATTTAACAAATTTTTATTAAAAAGTGTTTTTTTAACAATAAATAATTAGAACCAAATAAGTTTTTGTTTAGTTTTTGTTTAGTTGAGCGCAGTATTTAAAGAGATAAAATTGCTTAGTAAACATCATTAAATCGCACTTTTAATTTTTAGTCATCAGTAAATCGAATATTTTATATTTATGGTATTTAAAAACGGGTGAAGATAAATTAAAAACAGGCGAAGATAAATTAAAAACAGGTGAGCATTATTTAAATCAGTATTCAGACTTTAATTATCACATGTTTTAAACAGGTGGAAAAATGTTTTAAACTGTTTTTTTACCATCCCTATGTACGTACGTACGTAAAACATTGGGGTGTATCCTATCGGTTGATTTACAGTGATGATCATATATAAATTTTTTTTTATAATTAAATTTGGGAACTACGTTCCATATTAAATTATTATAAAAAAATCGATTTACTTCGCTTTTAATTTCTCCCGCGATCTTTAACATTTTTAAATTCTATAAAAGCAAGATGTTTAATGAAAAGTGTCTTTATAAAGTAATAACGTTAGAATTTTATCTCACTGATTGAAATATACGGTCTACATAGTAAATCGATGGCCGGGTTTTATAAAAATCTAATCCTTAATAACTTTTGAACCAATAAACATGTACAAATAAAATTATATTTGCCGAAGCTCTCTTAACGTGCTCTTTAAATTTATGAGAAAACCCGAACAATGAATTACTACATGATCGCAGTAAATCAAGCCGTGACATTTCAATTAGTCAGATAAAATTCTAACGTTATTACTTTATATACACTTTTCAATAAACATCTTACTTTTATAGAATTTAAAAATGTTAAATATTACGGGAGAAATTAAAGGCGAAGTAAATCGATTTTTTTATAATCATTTAATGTGGAACGTAGGATAGGATACACCCCAGTAAAACATGTAGATTTATATTCATGAAATTGCACAAATATATATATTTTTTTTGCCATTTCAAGGTTTCCAGACTTCAACGAGCATTCAATAAAAATGCATATAGACATGTTATTAGAAGGGAATCTAAAAAATACACTATTAATTCTGTCATAATATGATGATTGTAAAATGTTATATATTTTGTTTCGACTGAATATTGTCTATCAAATGAAAACAATGTATTGGAAATTGGAAAAATTAACTAAAAGTTATTATAAAGTCCATTGTACCGCAATATATAACTAATTAAATAACTTTAAAATTTTATTATGTACCTCTTTTATATGCTCGCCAAAAACGATTGTCAAATAACGGAGAGTGTATTGCAGATACGGCTACATTATGTACATAAGCATCAAGAATAATATAAGTCTAACTATGCATCGTTAGAATGTTACAAAGTCACCATCCGGTGCGGCCTGCTACATAGAAACAAAGCATTTATCTATAGCATAAATACTTTCCACACCGTTCAGGAAAAGTCCCATCGGCGGTAGTAGGAACTCAAAACGTATCCTATCTGCACACTCATTATCAAAGCCCCTAGCTGTCCCACAAAATTTTTTCCACCCCTTGTAATAACAACCAATCGAATTTCAGGATCAGGTGTAACGTGAAAATCGAGACGAAGCAAAAAACAAGAATAGCTCTAAATTTTAATTAGGAAACCGCCTTCTGTGGTCTAATGAAAAATGTTCCTTGTAAAATTTTACTTTTAAACGTCACATTATCCTAGTCCTAACCCTAATTATAACGCGGTTTTCTAAACTTAAATTTGCACGTAACTTTTTACTTAGAAAACAAAACACGTTTGTTTTGACTATCACGTTACACCTGATCCTGAAATTCGATTGGTCGTTATTACAAGGGGTGGAAAAAATTTTGTGGGACAGCTACCTAAAATCTCAAAATCGGTACGTATAATATTACTTAATTTCGAAATTTTATATAAGTTTTTTACAGAATTAACCTGCTTGCTTTACAGCCCTCTTAATTTGTCTCTACTTCTTTTATTCTTATAGCATTAAATTTTAAAAAAAATGATCCAGTAGCCCAGTTTTTAGTTCATTTTCAAAAAAAATTTTTCAAAAAAAATTTTTTTCTAAAAAAAGCTAAAGATACCATTTGTTTAAATTTTCGATTCAGAACAAAAAATCACATTAGCAGGTACTTAAGTATCTTCTCTTTTTTTTGAAAAAATTTCGAAGACCTCGGGTCTTTCAAATTTGCAAAGAAATTTCACAGAGCATGAAAAATTCAGCTACATAATGTACTTTATAATTATATTTTTTATTTTGTAATATGTAATATTTAATTACAGTAATAGTTGTTATTAGCATTTACGCAATAATTTATCTTTAAATTAGATAATTCTTATTTTTCACACCAATTACTATTGCTTGATTTTTGCATATTGATTTCTTGCCATTTTAACGATAGTAAAATTTTATATAAAGGGTTGCTTGTCACTAATAGTAGAGAGAAACATTTCATATCGTTTACTCCTTAATAAAAAGATCGACATAATAAAGTCGCTTGCATAACGTTCGCTTTCGCTACTTTAATGCTACGATTCTAAATCTGGAAGCAACGTTAAATTTTTGTGTATCAATATCGTGTGTACGTATGCATAAAGGATTCGTGTTTATTATTATTATTATTATTTTTACTTCATGCTAAACAATGTCGTCGTTACTCTCCGAGTGATTGGGTATCTTTGAAGTCGTAGAACCTTATTTCAATAACCGCGCTAAAATTTGCACATTCGAAATCGACGTGGAAGAAGCGTTTTAACGACCATATGAAAAGATAAAATTGATGAGAACGTGAAGTCTTATTAGGACTGTAGGATGGTTAGTAGTTACTTTGAAAAAAATAGTTGCTAGCAATTCTTGCTAGTCTTTAGTTGTACACTGAGAGCAGGTAGCGTTCCTATTAACTCCTGGATAATGATGCTGCCCGAAACTCTTTTGGCCCAAAAACTGAAACCGAAACTAGTTTTAAATATCCGAAACTAATTTCCGAAATTCCGAA